TACTTTTCAGCATGGTCAGTGTGACATGGTGCGGGACAGTATACACTTCTGCACTATAGTGCTTTTCCCCCCAAGTGGAAAAACTAATAGCCTGTGGGACTTAGGAGTTAGGAAAATGCACAGAGGATGAGACACACCCAATATGACCTCCCCCCATCACCTGATAAACATTAATTAAGCCTTAATTAAGTCTTCCTTCAGCTATGTCTTTTCCCCCTTCATTGGTTACCGTCCTTCCCCACATGTGGCTTCACCCGATGGGCTGCAGAAGATTCGACACCCATTAGCGAGCATGTTAACGTCAGTGCTAATGTTGATGCTAACGCTTCTCTGAAGCTGGCAGAGGGAGAGTGATCCCACCTCCTGTCATCTGTGTCGGCCTGCCCCCTCACTGCAGAGAAGAGGGGCTCTATGGCAGCACATTGCTGACTGGACATCTCAAGCATGCAAACAGAGCTCTCCTGAAACATGACAACCACCATCGTTTCTTCTTTTACTATGTGTATAAAACACAGGCCATTATTTACCAACATTACTCAGCAACATAAAAAAAAATCCATTTAATAAAGATCATACTGACATTTTCTTTTTTGTCATATGTAGGTATCCTTCGACTTTGGTGCGGCTTGTGTCCCGGAAGAGAGCATGCATGTCAGTCTGGACGTTTCTTGATTATTATAGGGGTGACATCAGATATACTGTATAAGATATAATATCACACACATGTACTAAAGCTCTATAGTGACAGTGCAGTTGGTTTGTTTAGGTTCTTGCCGTATGCCACACGTGGTAAAATACATCAGCTAACGGCCACCACGTCTGCTTCGGACGCCTGTCGATACATTTTATTAAGGCTCTCATGGGACGTAAATACGATCAAACTCAATAACTGTAAATATGAATGTGAAAAAGATTCATAAGCTATTTATTTACCAGTAAATTATCTCAACCCTGGCCCAATTTTACTGGTAATACTTGGACGATTATGGAAAATTTTAATAAATAAAGCACTAGACAGCAAAAACTACCCAAAGTTATAATAAATACCTAAGGATACCTTAAAAATCACCTTCACCCAATCTCTCAGGACAAACCAACTTCAGAAGCAATTTGTGATAATTACCTAGTAACAACAGCATTAATTATCTTTTGTTGCTGATCACTGGTGAGTGTCCATGAGATAAGCACTTTATACACAAGCCTGACAGTACATGAAAACACAGAGCAGTTACACTGATGGATAAAAAGCTTAGATACTCATACTGGGAAAAAAAAAACAGCTGAAAGGAAATCTGCTCATTTGTGTCGCTTATTTTAATTTGCTTAATTAACTTATGTTACCTAATTAACCTTTATCTGAAGGTTAATTAACATTTAAAAGGGTTGTTAAAGTTCCTTTACATAAATATAAAGGAAATGCATTACTTTACAAGACAGAGTTAAACAAGGCACACTCATTTTTTCCCCTCTCTTTGGTATTTGTTATTGTAGGTAATTCATTATGCATGCTAATTATGTGCTTGATTAACTGCAACGTGTTTAGTTTGTACCCAAGTTCTGCAGGAAAGCAGAGTGAGAGAGATAGTATTTAAACACAGACAGCTTTCTACCAGTGTGGTCAAAGCCTCTTTAAATCTTAAAGATTAAAGTTTGACCATCTTAGCAAAATAAATGGAAAATCAGTTTATTGGAAATTTTACTTTTGAATTACCTGGAATAAAACTATATCTGCAGCGTTACGTAATATTGCATCGACTTCATATTATATACGCTGTGTGATATCTGCATGATATTATGATGTTATCCCCAAAATTCACTGTCTGAAAAATCACTGGTCCAGTTTTATAAATTTTAACATTGGGCTTTTAAAGCCCCCCTTAAATATTAATCATTAATAATTTTAAAATAACACGACACCATATTTACTGCGACGGTACGTATATTTTCACACACATGCTAAATTATCCCATGTCAGTTATAAAGAAAATTCCAGTCTGCAGACCAAGCCTTTGGGTCACCACAAAATGTCACAACTTCCTAAAGAAGTTATAAAAGCAATGACAGATCAGCCGCTGAAAACCCAGGCATGCGCAATGTTGCTATAATGCTGCTACAACACACATCGTTGTGACATTACTGGTGAATCCAGCAAACCAAACCATGTCACTACGGGTCAGGTGGCTGGACCTGGGGCATTAAAGGGACTATATTATGATATTGGGTGAGGGTGTTTTTTACGGTTAGGATTTAAACAACTAGCGCAATGTAATGTCACATGGCATGAATCTGCATCCCATAATCCTACCACAAAAGCCACAGAATGTGAGCTTTGCAGAAGTGGTCAGACTTGGGTAAGACATTTAATCACACCCAATGTAGAAAACAATACTCACTCACTACTCCATCATCTATTTAAGTTGTCTGTTTGAGTTAGTCAATGCATGAACTTCAAGGAGTAAACCTAAATATTTTGAAAACATTTCAGACATAACTGACAAGTCCCATAAAGCCCTACAGTGCTCATATAGGACAAGGAATGCTTATAAAAACTCAAGTTTTAATGCCTGATTGTAGCATTTATAGCTAGATGAATCACCGTGGAAACAGATTTTGTGAAATAAACAGATGACTGTGACCTTATACATCCTTCACAGAAATCTGTCCCACAGATGCATCACTTACACGTGTTTCTGAGACGTGACAGTGGATGAAGAGGCATGGAGCCCAGCTTCTGCTGCCGTCTGACACGTCTGTACTCTAATTTTGTCATTTTCGGGATTGTGTCTCAATGCGGAGAGGGTGAGTGGGGCCCATTAAAGAAAAACTATCACCGATGGCAATAACAGAAATAAAGAAAATAACGTGACAGCAAGAGCCAACTGTGCGCGATCCGTGTGACTTGGGAAATAGGGTTTCCATAAATGTGATGAGAATGACGCCACAGAGTCTATAATGGGAACGCCGATGAAATCACCAGTTTCCTGGGACTGAAGGCAGGAGGGCTTAGACCCTAACCCCACCAGCTTGATGAGGAACATGACCCCAGGCCTGAATGACACACAAGCGGTCCATGACACGTGATCTACATCAGTGAATTTGAGTTTACCTAGGTTTTCCGTAAAAATCATGTGATTTTTCTGAACACACAAGGTGTGGCGAGTGTGATGCCTAGGCCAAAGGATCACGAAGATCAATGCTGGGATTGTAAATAGCCATGTTATTCTTTCTACAGTACAGGCTCATATTACAGCCTCATGAAGTCTAAGATACACTGAAGTTAAATCCATTTTATTGAGGGAACTAACAGCATAGGGGATTCAATCAATTAAATGTCTAATCAGCTATTCTGGTCTACGCCTCTCTAAGCCACCGCGTGGATGAAAAGAAAGCCAGTACCTGCAGTTTCCCCAATGGCCTTCCAGAAAGAGATTGGAAAGATTAGTGATAGCGTAACAATAAACAGAATCGACGCTAAAGACGGCTCTTATGGTTGCATTGTGTAACATTTTCTATAGATAATGTAAGGAAATACAAATCAGGATGCAAGCCGTGTTTTTGGGAAATGGGGGGGAGGGGGTGGTAGCATTACAGATCAGCTATCCACTGATGAGTCCCGCCCCCCATCGTCGTACCAGACACTTTCCCACCGCAGAGACCTGGGTACAAGAACATTTATCAGGAACCAGCAACTTCTGTCATACTTCCACCACAGGGACTCCTGATTGTAGTTCCTTGGATGTAGTTCAAAGTGGGTACTTTTCGGTCAGCCAAGAACTACTAGGTGGGGATTTACTGATAAAGTTGCTGACTTGTTGACCACAAGCCCCGGAGGTAACTTGGAAGTGATACGGAAGTGCAGGGAGTAAAAACTGAGCAGATAGAATTATTTTTCAATCTCAGTTACATTAAATGCATTAATGAATAGCTTTTTTGCTTGCATCTCCATATTTCTGCATTGGAAAATTCAATCAATAACTGACATACTGCTGTCTAATATCACTGCCACTTGCCAGCCCTTATTAGCAGGAATAACGCTGCATCGTTTTTCATTCTGTGGAAAATGAAAGATCGATCTGCTGGCCAGATTTAATAATGAATGATTAACGTGTCACCGGCCATATACATAAAATGCGATTGGCCCCATATTTTCAGAAAGTGCAGTTCATCTCCCAAATAACTAACAAAACGACTTGTTCATCCTCCATTGTTTTGGGGTTTCACATGAAATTACATATGAAGTTTAACTTATGAGCTTCTTGCATCTCCTGTACTTATTTAGCATAAAGGTCACAATTCCTGCAATGGGAAAGTGACACACGAACATTGCCAGGAACTACAAAAGTTCCCAGTCGAGACAACCCAGGAACTCGGAATTAGGAATTGGGTTCCTGAACCTTGGTGGGAAAGCATCTATTTACAACCCTGTCTGTCCTTCCCTACAGCCCCCCTCCCCCCCCACACTCTACACTCCCCATTTCTCTCCCTCTGTCTCAGGTGAAACCAGACCCAGAAGCCCCTCCCTCTCGCCCTCTGACTGACTTTTTTCCTTAGGTGGTTCTGGGCAGCTGAGGGCTGAAGAGTCATGGAATGCAAGGCAAGCAAGATGAAAAGGAAAGCAATCACTGCAGGATATAAAGAAGTCATACACACAAAGCAGCCAATGTCCTCTGGGGCCCAGAGATAACACACACTCAGTGTTCGGTGCACAGTGCCAGTGGTGGGCAAACGTTCTGTAAAAGTAAATTCAGACATTTGGCTCAATCCTTATTTGGTCAGAACCAAACCTGAACTCACTGGAAAGTAGGAAGTGAACCCTTTGACAAACAGATCATGTCTTTTTTGACACGACAGCCCAGTGCAAGCCTTTTCGAGTGGAAAAGACCTAATCAGGGGCCAAGTCAGTGTGAACCAGCGCTGGCAATAGGTGGTTCAGAACCTGTTGGTAAGGTTTGCCCATCCCTGGCGACTGCCACCAATATTTGGGTGTGAGGGGGCCTCACCTTATCCTGCGGTTTGCCCGTGGTTGTTCGGACTGGACAGACATGTGGCTCGTGCTGCTGAACCGAGAGGCACTACTGGTCCTCGATACAGCGGACACGTCGCTTACGTCACTGTCCGAGGACCTGGCGGAGAGGTTGTCTGGGCCTCGGTTACCCAAGCGCTGTAGAGGGAGAAGCCAAACCTGTGTTACTCCTTGTATAAGTACCAGACAAACAACGTAATACAGTCCCAGAGCACTTAATACAGTAACATCTTAAAGACCATACTCATGGCTGAGTGATCTCGGTTACTCTCGAGGAGACACATTTTTTCCTGAAACTGCCACTGATCAGACACTGCTCTCAGTGCAAGAACACTGTGCTGGGTAGGACAATTACAACCAAAGAATGCTTGATATTTTGGGAGGAATGTTTAAAAATATCCACTCTCCGCTGCAGTATGTTCCTGGGGCGAGCAGAGCAAAATGTGCCCAGCAGAACAATCTGAAGCGCTCACAGATGATCGAGACCAGACGACGACAAACTCCGAGCTGTTGACATTCATAACAGATCGTCCCATGCTGGGCACGGTTCTGTTTACATCACAAGCAGAAGCTGATCGCCAGTGTCATGGACTAATCGGCCAAATGATAATATTTGGCTGAGAAGTTACTGGTGTCCGTTTGCCAAGCACTGAGACAGAGCAGACCTGTGTCAGACTTTTCAAACAAATAATAATGCTTTGCACTTCGCAGGAGATAATCTAGGAACAGGAGCTTGGATTCAAGAATGCATCTCCCCAAATAGAATAGGTGTTTGGTCTGTAGCTATTTATGGAACTTCCAATTCAGTCTTTATGAGATTCCATCTTGATTATCCTTCTATAAATGCATAACTCACCAGCGACGATACATTAACCGTCCTCCCGACCCATTGTTTTTGAGAACCTTTGAAGACCTGTGTCAGAAATACATTGAGTAACAAAGAACACTGCAATGTTCCGAGTGGTTTATCACAATGGTAAACAGTCTTATATGCTAACAATCAAGCCATTTGCACAACAGGCCTGATGTGCCTCTGTTGTACTTGCTTTTTATTTGTTCACAAAAGCTCGTTTCAGGTACTTTAGCACTTGTGTTGCTTGGCATGAGTTGTAAACATTAAAGTTTTGTCTTTTCAGTAGTTCTTCTACCGAGTCCGGTCTTGCTTAACATAACTCATAAGCTCAGACAATCAACAAGACCCAGCGATGGGTATTTAAGGACTCCTTGACTATGCTGGTTTTCATTTCGATTTTCCCATTTACGACTGGTAATGGCACGCCCTTATTCGAAAAAGTCACCATGGAGATAGAGCGGCAAGAAGAACACATGGATGTACCTATGCATGGAAAATAAGCTCTTCTAGGAAATTATACACAGCATCAATCACCCGATTTCAGACAAAATATAGCTTCCTTAGTGCACAACTAGAAGTGATTATTGGTCAAAAAGGGCCACCATACAAGGACAAAACCCCTTCAGTACTGAGAAAAGGCAACTGCAGGAAGACAAGGCTCAGGTATGCAACGCCTGAGGTTCACCGCCCTACGGCTAAAGCTAATTCCTGATGACTATCAGGATAGAACAGAAAGCCTCAGATAGAATCAGCCCGGGGATCAGAACAGATCAGAACTAAGAAAACAATACTTTACACAAACTGCAGTGAGATGAACATCTCAGGGGTCTCTCTAGATTCCCTAGGCTCATTTAACCCGGCATTAAACAAAAATTCACTGCCAGTTAATATGAAGTACAGTGGGCTCTTTGTACCTGTGTAATATTTCTGCAGTTCTGATTATTTTAATTTAATAGCTAATTGTTCTTATATACCATAATTATGGAGCACTGTTAAAATTTGATTGAACATAACTGATTTCATAAGGCACACTTATCACTTAATTTAGGTCCATCAGCTAAGTTCAACAATTGGTTAAGCTATTAAATTCTCCTGGAGCCTTGAAGGTAGGACTTTCTGCATCTCTCCCCTTGGACTGGGTGTTTCCCAACTTTCACTACATGGTCAAGCAGACCACCGGTGAGACAGAAGGGGAAATTAATTCAACTTATAATTAACTTAGTCAATTGTTTAAATGCACCCTTAAAATTAAAACCAGTGCAGAGAGTTAAGCTGAATTAAGCTACCATTGCTACAACAGGTACTTCATCAAGAAAGTTTTCTGTGGTGCTCTGACACATTATGATACCTCTGAAGCTCCTGTAGGTACGATGAGCAAGTCATTATCACAGATTTCATTTGGATGGTGCCAAACCCTTGCTACAGAGACCCAGGGATGAGAAAGAGAGGCACACTCACCTTGGCCTGGTCGTCTAACTCCAGCCTGGAGTCGGTGGACGACTCCTGCCTGGATCTGCTCATTTTCAGCCTCATCTGCCGTGTGCGCTCCTCCACTTCCAGATCACCTGTGGAGGAGAGGGGGTCAGAGGTCATTGGGGGGGGGGGGGGGGCTGGTCCTTGTCACCTGGAGTCTCCTTAGAGAAAGCGTGTTAATGGAGGAGCTTTGGTATGAGAGAAGCCCAGGGGCTGGACTGATGGTCCTGGTGAGGAACATATGCTGCATTGCCTCTTAATTCTCTCCTAAAACACTAAGACAAAAACCGATTGTCAGTGTGATTTATGGAGCTACATTAATATATGACTGATAAATGAGAAATAACCACAACATCGACCCTGTGAGTTCTGTACCGCAGGGCGAATTTCGGCTATTATTCTGGAGGCTTCCTAAAACTGGGTGTCAGATGCCATCAAATTTTGGCTGGAATAATAGAGCAGAGAATCCAGCAGAGGATGACGAAACACCACTGGGACCTGAAGCCGAATGGGCCGGAGGGCGACAGTCAGGCTCTAAGTAATTATGAAACTGATTTGCGTTTCTTCGGCCCTTTAGGTTGGCAGAGAACGACTCCACCTCAGCTGTTCTTCAGAAGCTAATCGCTGGCATTTTATTTCCCACTTGGCAGCTTCTAAGGTTCTCAGGCGTCTAAGTTTGGACAAACGGGGTTTCAACACTTTGAGGCGAAGAACACGACTGTAGCTAAATGAAGCAAGATGAAATTTGTGAAGGCTTCATGAAAATGACGTTGGAAAAAAAAAATAGAGAAACTGCTTTTATTTTTAAACTCCGGCACGAGCTGGGTTTTGCGTGTGGGAATCACAGCTGTGAAAAGCATCTGGAGCGACTGAATGCTGCTGAACGCCATGTTGGCCCAGGTGGGGGCGCCGTGCCTCAGAACTCTGTCATAACAAGCGCTCTGCAACACCGTCGAAATATTTCCCTGACAATGCAGCTGGAAAATGTGTCTATGCTTTCATTACGGCGTAAATCCCAAAATAGCAGAAATGCTTCCTGGGAGCTGACCAGCAAAGTTTGGCCCTACGTTTCTGAGGCAGCCATCGCCAATTTTGAACAGTTTTTTTTTTTTTTTAATGAAGTGATGGTAAAAGCTGTCATGTGCCAGCGTTGCATGTCATTTAATCGAAGACGTTTGTGGGTATATTGCATTGCATGGCAGAGCATCTCTGTTCCCAAACCATGCAATCAGACTCAAACTGTAATTAAAACAGCTCCTGTCCTCTTAGCCATGCAGCGACATGCCCCTTAAGCTTTGCCCCCCCTGTCCCTGAGCCCTTCACAGCCACTTCAGCCAAGCCGCCCCCCCCCCCACAACACAGTGTTATACATCCCCCAATGTTCAAAGCGGGTTAAGGAAACTGAATTATGTTTTGATTATGCAGATATCTCTGGCCATACACTCTCTTCACATGCTCTAAAGTGAACTGAGGAAAGCAGCAGTGCGTAATCCCAGAGGCATGCTGATGTCACCGTGCATCTGACCAACGGTAGCAACTTCCTACCATCTGCAAATAACTACGAACGGGTCGGATTCTGCTGGTGATGGCACCACACTGACAGCCCGAGAGCGAGTTTACGGTGACATCGCGGAGATCTCGAGTAGCCCCGCCCACCTGCATTCGCTCTCATTCAAGGCCTCCTCCCACGCTACCCCAGTCAGTTTTATGAGGAACGTGAGGAGAGAACATGAATGTAGGAAGAACTAAACAAAACAAAACAGGAAGCTGGACAGATGGATACCAGGCAACAACACGGCATTCCCTAAACAGCGGATAAGATGGCAGTAAACATGGACAGATTCTCTTTATTTGGTCCTGCCTTCCCATCCGCACCTTTGAGGCAGCAGAACATGATAGCAGTTAGCGTGGCAGCAGCTCCTGGCTATAGATGCAACTCAAATTCAATCTACATGATAGCTTGGTGGTAGGAAATGGGTCTTAGGTTCCACTTTACGTTATTATCACTATTTGTTTGGCTCAGACCTGCCTCTTATAAAAAATCTGAAAACTCTCCACAGTCTCCATCTCACAGCAAATGCTTCGTTGGACTTGCTTCTCCTGGATAGGTCCCTTGTTACTGATGGCCTGTTGAAGGAAGATCTCCCACACAGAAAGCTGAGCCGGCCCTCTGTTACCCCGTTGCCTGAATTGAGGATCATCATCAGCTGCCCCATGGGAGTCGGGCAGCTCCGCCACCCTGTGAGTGACGCACGGCTCTGCTCAGGGTCACCAGCAAGGCTCAGTCAAGCATGCGTTGAGTCTTTGCCGGTCACTTACTTTCAATTAAATCTCATGTCAACATCTCACCGCAAATGTTCCATAGATAGAATGTGACTTTCATATGGTACATTCCCGCTTGCTGCACTGCTTCTGGCTCTCCATCCAATCGCATATTGATGACTGGTGTGAGCGCTGCTCGCGGTCCGGCCAGCTGTGACATCACTGGACGCGAACGGCTTGACCTCCAGGTCTCAGAGGATGGGCTCCCTTCACTTTTGTTCCCAAGTTTGCTTGGGACAACTCACTTCCTTTCTGCATTATGAGAACTATTCCTCTGCTGATGGGCAATAGATAATGCCCAGTATGTGTGGATAGACTCTGCTTTTCTCATTTCTCACAGGGAAAATTGAGAGTGGCGAGTTTGTTCATTTGGTTTGACATAAAGTTAGTTTTCTTCTGTCTCACAACAGCAGAACTGCTTGGTTCCTAACCAAAGCACCCAAGACAGCTCTATACTACGCTGATATGTCAGTGTATGGAATGCTGTCAGACTTACATCATTAAGAAGAAATTTGTCTTTGGGAACTTCATCTCTTTTACAATCTTCACCGTTTCAATGGATGATGTGATATATTTATGGGACATCAGTGAAAAATATGTAGCCAAAATGGCATGACCGTCTATACAAAACAGAAGGATGAATCTATGCGCTATCCAGGATAACAGGTGAGCAATCACTACACAGGATTCTACTCGATGAGAGATCTCACTAGGATACCACTTTTAAAGGTAGACATATGAAAACATTTCATCTTTCTAGAATCTTCCATATGGTTTACATTTATGGGGATGTTCAGATGAGGTCTGACGATACAGCGCTAGGACCAAGGTCAGTTGTGGCTTGGCTTTTACACTCCAGAGTGTTTTATTGACCTGCCTGTCAGCACTGTGTTGTCCACTGTACACCCATCATCTTTCGAAGCATTGTAGTTGTGCTCTGAAAAGCAGGTTCAGCAGGGAGGAAGGTGGAACTCAAATGCCATCGGACCAATCAGAATGGCCGGCACAAGTATCAACTTTTAAAACTTGGGCCAATGAATACCACTGTTTAATTGCTCATTGCTCCCTTAGTGTGGCTATGATGTTCAGAGCACAATTTCAACAACTCGAAACTTCACCGGGCCTCCAGCACAGTGCTGACAGGGAGAGTCTTAAAGGGAGAGTCTTAAAAAGACTCCAAATGTGAGATCCGTCCTGGAACTGCGTGGTCAGACCACGTGGGTGAGCACTGTCGCATTCAGCAAGTCAAGGAGATTCAAACAACATCACATACCAACAGCAGAGGCAGAAATGGGGATGGAAGATAGGGGGAGAAGGACGGTGAAGTAGAAGGAGAAGGAGAAAAAGAAGAAGGGACAGACCTGAGCTCGTCCGTCGGGGTGAGTCCATATCTTCCGGGGTCACACCACAAAATGGACAGACACAGACAAAGGAGATGGACGTGAGCGGATGTTTTCAGAGGGTGAGAGGTGACACGGGGCGGGAGAAAGACTCTCCGGCAGTAGCGACACAGATGTGGGGCAGGGGAGTGGGGGCGGGGTGAGGTGGAGCACAACAGTAAGAATACAAAACGGCAAAACACACCACAGAACATGAAGAAAGACACGGATCACAGAATACACACACAAAGAAGAGAAGAGCAGCCGAGAACTGGGACAGAAAGGCAGCACAGAGCACTGTAAGTGATAAAAGCGAGGGCAGTGTCCAGAGGAGAGAAACGTTAGAGGCACATTAATGCGAAGATGATGATCAGGAGCCAAGCTCTCTGGAGGGAGAGGAGGGAAATGCTTTGGTCAGCTCAGAGATCCAAGAGTAGGGTGGAAAAACAGCTGCAAAAAGAGTCTAGAAATGGGAAGAAAAGAAAAGAAATAATAATAAAATTAAATTAAAATGTTTAAAAACACTTGTCTCTAAGTGAAATAATCTCACTGTATGTGTGAGGCTGCCTCACTGCTTTGCCCAGGCCTCTAATTAGACGCCAGCCTCGGTTATATATCCACAGCATCTGGAGAGCTGGGAAAACTGCTGAGGTTTTTTTTGTCCTCTAATGATCATCTCTGTTTTGAACTCAACGTCATTAATCATATGTGGCAACTGGCTTTTGGTCCTGCAAGACAGGGCCCCCTCTTGGCACGGCCGTGGCTCCGGGATCGAGAGAGATTACCTCGGACACCAGTCGGTAGGCGGAGAGCTGAGGCAGGCAGCAGAACCACACTGGCTCTGGCTTTGCCTGGCGTCCCTCCCAGGACGTTTTACTGGGTTACCACCCTGACCCCCAATATCACCCCGAAAGATTAACTTGCAGATACATCAAATAAAAGAGCATCTGGCTAACAGGGGAATCTTTAATAATCCAGTCTGAAGAGTCAACAGAACAGCCTTAGACATGGAAAACAAGAGAAAACACTTGACATCCCACCCTGAAGCCCCTTTAAATGATATAGAACCATAATATATAGACACAGTCATATGACAAGACAGGGTACATAGGTCGAAAATACGGAAAAAGCTGCAGAAATGCCTGCATAGTGTCCCTGTTTACAATCCAGGTATATTTATTCTGTGCTCTGTAACACTCTGTTCCACTACAGGGTGATGCATTTGCGTATGTACATCGTACCTTTTTCCCCTTTGGGCCCTGCGCTGCTTGTTTTTCGTCTCTGAATTGCAACATTTGTCTTGTAGTCGCACTATTGGACGCTTGACGTTGCTGCTGTTCACACCTTAATTTCCCTTTGGGGACTAATATAGCTTATCTATCCATCTATGC